CAATACGACCCGGGAGTCGGAGCAGCAACCCTAAACTTACAGCTGGAGATGTAATGGGACAGTTCTGATCAAATCAGGGATTTTTCAACTGATTTAGAGTCATTTTGATGAGCTGAATCCAAAAATCTCATTGTTTTTGCTAAGTCAGGTCAATTTTCTGATCTATGGAGCAACATGAGCATCAAAATGCACAACTTGTTCTCACATCTGGATCCTGAGAATCTGGGATCAATGAGTGACAAGCAGGAGGAGAGACTCCATCAGGACAGGAAAGAGACGGAGACTTATACACTATGAAGACGTAATATTCAATTTACATGTACTTACCCTTATTAGTGTTTATTATCCAATTTACAGAAGTCCAAGTTTGTAACATGTAATTAATACAAAAGCATTTTTTTTCTCCTAAAACATTTTTTGGATGAGAAATATTAACAGAATTTAAATGTCAGACAAATGTCATCAGTTTAGTCAGAAGATCAGATTTCTCTAATTGGAATTAGAATAAAAACCTGACCTGATTGAGAAAAATGGATGTCATTTTTGCATTCAGTGGCGCAAAATACTCCTAATTCAGTTGGAAAAACACAGACAACTTCTAAAAAATATATATATATATATTATAACCCAGTGTAATCTGTGACCTTTTAAAGATATTTTGTAAAAATAAATTGGCAAATTTTTTTCAGATTACACATTGTGTTGGTCTCTTGCATAAAATCCGTTTGTTGCACGACAAAATGTAAAAAAAAAAAAAAAAAAAGGTAAAAGTTAAACGGTGTCTTAGTTTTCTAAGCCGTGGTGCACGCTCCATCTACATCAGGGGTCCCCAAACTACGGCCCGCGGGCCGCCTCCTCTTTTGGTNGTTAGATCATTGAGGAATGTAAACGTTCTGCACATAAAGGGAAAACAAAGAGCCGCATTAAAACGGCTTTGGCCTAAAATCTCTAAAGAGGGCCAGTAAAAAGTCAGGCCTGAGGCTGCTTTTCAACCCAATACACACATGTCCTTCTTTTTCTTTCTTGACCCTCTCTTTGCAGAACACCCAGCCATACTCCCCTTTTTAGCTTCTGGAAGCAAAATGCAGAGGATGCGTCAACAGAAATTGAGCTGCATTCTTGCTTCTGTAAAGGTTAGTCTTTTTCTTAAGCTCTTCTGTCTTTTTTTTTTAATTATTATTATTGTTTTGTTTTGTTGTCCTTCACACACATCGGTCCACATATATGCGCTTCAAGTGTCAGGTGGTAGGAGTGTGACCGACTCATGTTCAATGACTTCCTATTAACCTAAATACTCAGTGCGAAATAATCAAGTGTGTGTTTACATGCTGTGCATGATTAGGCAGGAGTGACACAAATACAGATCACACCGCCACCCACTGTAAATATTTATCATCCAGCGCAGGCAGCGCATGCATAAATGATGAGCAGGTTCTCATATTTTCTCACGGGGAAAGATCGCACATACATCACGAAGCGGGCGCCGTCCCGGTGGGTTGGTGTTCGCACGGCGGCGCGGTGCCATGGAAACGCACTCGCAGTCAGAGACCCTCCTTCCTTTCATTGCCTCTTTTGTTCCGGACCCCGTTCTTGCTATCAGCCGCTGCGTATGTTTGATTACGGAGCCTCGCGCCGGTCTGCTGGTCCCATTAGGGACAAATCTGCGTCCTGCTACGTGCTCCCGTCGTTTCGCCTGTGCGTTCCTCTGAGCGTGCGCAGGCCTTGTGTTTCTTGTGTTTGATTTGCGCCGCTGTTTTTGTGGGCACACAAAGTGAGATTGCGAGGCATGCCTCCTTTCCGTTGTGTGTCGTGTTATCAGAGGCCACTCGATATCCTTATTCCCTTTTGAGGGTCTTGTTGAAGCAGCTATCAGCGTGCACAGGGTTTTTTTTTTTTCCTGCTCTCTGGTCTCTCTTTTTCTTTTTTCTTTTTTCAATTAGCATTCATCGTCCATCTGCCTCTCTGGTCAAAATGTCACATCTGTCGCGAAGCCTTGCAAAAGTATTGATACCTATTTAAATCTTTTCACATTTTTCACCTTTGCGGTGACAACCTTCAACGTGTTTTATTGGGATTTGATGTGATAGACCACGAGGAACTGTAATCATCTTGCACTGCATTCACAGCTGACATGATGTGAGAGTTTGGCTCCATCTGCTTTGCTAAGCTAAGGAGGGGATTTTGTTGCTCATTCTGAAATAACTAAGGCTTAGTTAGAGAGAGTGGACAGAATCTGTGAACACTCTTTTTTCAATATCTGACATATAATCCAGATTGGTTTTTATCTAGGTGGAGAAGAGAACAGGTTTTCAAGGTTTTGAATTTAATTTTATCCAATGATTTCAACTCATTTACTGAATGAAATTTAATTTGTTGCCGTTGCAGTTTAGTCATCTTTATTTATTGTATTTTTACTCTAGTTTCGTTTGGATTCAGCTAAAATATTAATTCCCTTCGTTGATCATTTTAATAAATCTTAAGGCCTTGTTTAATTTCTATTGCGGGAATGATGTATTCTGGGATGGACTGGATTCCAGACTAGTTTTTGCAGCACTCTGGCTCAAGTTTGTTTCAACCACTAGGAGTTAAAACAACTTTAAATAAACCATTAATGGCTACGCTTCCATCTTGTCCCACCTTCCCATGTGACAGAAATGAGATGTTTGATTTAATCTCTCTCAAATATCCCATCTGTTCATTCATAATTTTGCATACTTCCTTTCATACTTGTAAATGTATTCTGTGTGGGTTTTATTTTTATTCAGTTTGTAGTCTGGTGTTTGTGCGAGGAAAAAGGGTTGCTGATGAAAAATTTGACCAACGTTGAATGTTTTGGTCTACATGCAAAACACTATTTGTGGCAAACGTTGCACTTTAGCACCTGTATGCTGAAACATAGTGCTGATGTAAGTGACAGAGTTAAAGAAACCTGGAAGAGAGCCTGACAGCTTCAATACGACCCGGGAGTCGGAGCAGCAACCCTAAACTTACAGCTGGAGATGTAATGGGACAGTTCTGATCAAATCAGGGATTTTTCAACTGATTTAGAGTCATTTTGATGAGCTGAATCCAAAAATCTCATTGTTTTTGCTAAGTCAGGTCAATTTTCTGATCTATGGAGCAACATGAGCATCAAAATGCACAACTTGTTCTCACATCTGGATCCTGAGAATCTG